TTTACCTTGCCTCTATAAGGCAGAATTTTTACTCATTGTTAAATTAACCCTATAAATGTGAAATGTTAGATGTTCCCCAATAGATATTTCCAAGTGCCGTCAAGTGTAATAGAGTAATAATATTAGTCTCTTAATCTTAGTGCTTATAAATAAATTATTTAGTTTATTAAATTAAATGGAATATAGATATAATTTTAGTTTGTATATACTTTTAGAGCAACAGTTACAAGATCAAGTTAAAGGTTTACCATATCATTAACCCCTCCGGCTTTCTAGCATTTAAACGTCAGCCAATCGTCATCGTTTACTCGCTGCTCGCTCCCACTTCAGCTTGCTGACGCTCTCTCTCCGACGCGTTGTAATGCTACAGCGCTCTCTCTCTCTCTCTCTCTCTCTCTCTATCTCTCTCATTTTCTGTCTCTCATATTCTATCTCTGTCTGTTTGCGGCGCTCTCTTTCTGCTTGCTTGCGTTTTGTTGGCGTTGGGTTCAACGATCCCCAAAAGTTTGGAGCATGCGGTTCGTTGAACTGCCGAAACGAGCAACTGTAAATGCCGCCGCAGTTATCGCTTTCAGCGCCGGCAGCTGCCTGTTGCGGCTGCGCGCCCGATACACGCACAAGGCGTCTGATTTTTCTTTCTATCGTCGCCACGCATCGGTGCCACTGATCGTGTGTTGCTGGGTCAGGGGCGGTCCCTGAACGTGACACCATTGGGAGGCATTTACCTCGTTGCTGGCACATTGAACCTTGTTTGTGAAGTTCGAGTGCAAGTCATTGCGCTTGCCCAAAACTGGGTTAAATAGCGCTGGGCCAGGGCCTCGACCCCGACCCCGACCCCGACCCCGACCACGGCACCGTTGCCTTGCCTTGCCACAGGGCCGGCCAACAATGTATGTGACGTGGTCATTACTTTCGGTTTTTATGTAGAAATCGATAGCTTGCTTTGTTTATGGATCAGGCGGCCAGCAGTCGCAGCAGTTGCAGCAACACCAACATGAAGCATTTATTACAACAACAAGGAATTTCGTTGCGTACAATTATCATAAGCACATTCAGTCTTCGTTTCGTTTCGTTTCGTTTTATATGTGATTTTTTTCTTATGGTTTTTTTTTTCTTTTTCTGCTAGTTGCTATGCCAGTGTTAACATATAGCAGCTGCCTCGCCCCCCTCCCCCATTCCCCTGCTGAGCACCTAGGGCGACTGATGTTTTGTTGCTTCGTTGCCTTTTGTTGTGTTCACTCTCGCTTTTAAAACATGATCGATAATATACAGGCATAAAGTAACAGGCAAACATAATAGCCCAGCTAAGCGACACGCGACTCCATAATTTCTGTTGTGCGTATCTTGGCCTCTCACTCTCCCCCTCTCTCAAGCTCTCTATCTCTCTCTCTCTCTCTCTCTCGCTCTCTCTCTTTCTCTCTCTGTTTTTCTTTCTTGCAATCTCTCGTCTTCTCTCTCTATCCCTCTCTCTCTCTATATTGTGCTCTGTTTGCTGTTGACCTTGTTGTTGTTTGTTGCTTTTGTTTTTGGTTGCCATTGAAAACTTTAACAATTGACGGGAAACGCGGGCAGCAGCATAAAATAAACCGCTCAGAAAAAATTTTGTATTTTGAGATTGCTAAAGATACTATTATGAGAAATATTACCTGTAATCTGATAAGTCTTTTCAACATGCATTAAATAATATTCTTCTTAAGATCCAACAAAACGAACAGTTTTACTTTTCATAATATTCTTTAATCGAAAATTGTTCGAAAATTGTTGCGTTTGGAACTCTGTGAAATGCATTGCTAAAGATACCATTATGAAAAATGTAGCTTATTCTCCGATTAGTATTTTTAAGTAAAATATGTTATTCTTCTTAAAATTTAACAAGACGAACAGTTTTATGATTATATTATTTTTATAGAACAGTGGTAATTTTCGCATCTTCTGCTTCTGTTCATTCAATTCCTTTTCATTTATATTCTACCACTTCCTCGGAGCGTAAGTTTGTGTTTGTATGTGAATACGTAGTATATACTCATACATAAATACGTACTCATACTCATACTCATACTCATACTCATAGTCATTTACTCGCATTATGAGCATTCAGTAGTACGACGATTATTGTTGTTCGCTTTTTGGTTTTCCAAGGTTTTCCAGTCCGATCAGATTAGCGATTCAAGGCTTCCTTTATTTTAACTTAAACTGGCCATGCTGCGAGCCGCTTGGTAAACCTTCTGTTGGCCTGGCCAAAATAGAACAGCAACGGTTTCTAAACAGTTGCACTTCTCTGCCCTTTAGAGTATTGAGAGTCCGTGTGTCTCTTTAGCCACTAAATACATTCCTGGTGTCTGTTTCTCGCCTTTCGACAAAACAAATAGTTTTTGTTTACGCAAATTTGTGCGGCCCATTGAGCGAAGCGCCCGGCTAGATGAGCGGACCGGCGTACGACACACGGCGTATGTGATTAGTTTTTTCGTACTATTTGGAACCGGCGCTCAGCGATTATGTGTAGGAACCTCACGGCTCTGGGGGCAGCATGAAGTTTTTATGTTGATATGAATACAACAACTGCGACAACAACGACGAACCGTGTACAGAGCTAGCGAGTGCCATAAAAATCAACGTGAAACAACAATTAGCATTCAAGGTTAACCAGAAATGAGCTGACAGACAGACGCGTCGCAATGCGTTGTGATACGAGAGAATACGGCGTTCAACAGTCCCCACTTGGGGACAATCCAACACCAACAACAACAACACAACAACAAGACAACAGCAGCTAAGCAATTGTTTTAGCAGACCCAGCCCAACCAACAGAAACAACAACCGGTTCTTGTGCTAACAGCAATACATTTATTATGTATCTTAATCTGCATTTTAGTTGCTCAATAAATATGTTGATCTTATGTCTAGACTCCCTAGAAATACTTGATATGCCACATAAATAAAATAATTTAATTACATACAACTTTGTGTAAGTTTTTCTAAGACATAAAGGATATTTTGCTTAATGAACCAAGAATTTGCATTGATACTGCTAGAAGACAAGCAGTGGAAAATGCAACTTAAACAAATAATACGAAAAACCATCACATTCAGTATTTTTTTTAGTAATTTAGCAATTTCGTGAAATTATATGTTATTAATTATATTACTGTTAAATTGATGTCATTCAATTACATAAAAAATGTTTAAGTTCTTTTAGAAGATAGAGTATTGAATACAGTATTTGCGTTCCTATAGACTTAATGTTAATTTATATATTTATAGCAATCTATCAAATTCAGCAATATTTATTTTCATAAATATATTTAATTTTTCATTTAAGAACAGTCCACAATTTTTAAAAAAGTTTGTCGGTAAAGGGTAAAGAAACTAGTATTAAATATGGTACCTGTAAATTGAAATATCTTATTTAAATATATCAATTCTGATTATATAATTTTGTAATCATAAGACGAGTCCAATTGAACTCAAAGTCTTTAAGATTTATCGATTCAAAATTTGATATGTATGCACGTAGGTAGATATATATATATATATATATATATATATATATATAAATATATATATATATATATATATATATATATATTTTTCTTAACTTAGATAAAGATTTTGCTTAAAATTTTCGACTGTCTAACTTAACTACGAGGTATCTCGCAGTCGAGCACACTCGCCCAGAGACCGCTCTTACTCAACTGCGAGTTCAATGATCCCACGTTACTAATCTACAGATTAACATGCTTTCCTGCAGCCCTGATCAACAGCATCAGCGCAATTTCCTATGTATGCTACGCTGCTTTATGATTTATGATGGGTTGGTTGCCAACGCCAGCCGCGAGCGTTGAGCCCAAACTCAAAATTCACTTTCGATTTTCAATTTTACTAGGAAGTTTTTTATAGATGCGACCAGGCGCTCAGGGCCACAAGGGCGACGGTCACCGCGATCGGGCCAAAATACGCACTGTTCTTGCTGTTTCACTCGCACACACATGTTGGTGGGTGTGTGTGTGTGTGTGTGTGAGTGTATGAGAGGTAGTTTTATTTTTTGGTAGCTCATTTTGTATGTCTTTTTTTATGGCCGAAACGATTAGTGACCTACTTTTTCTTTTTGGGCTCGTTGTGTTTTCTTTTTAAGCTTCAGAAATTTCATTGTTGATTTTTATACGTATTTTTGCGGAAGAGAGCAAGCTAAAAATGTGATGAGAATTGTATCACAACAACAACAATCAGTTTACTCATTGAAATACAACACTATTCATCATGGAACCACAAAATAATAATAGCAAAATAATTTTTAAACAAATTTATGTGCACTAGTTACTCATAAATTAGAGCAATTAATGCTTCTGTGTTAAGAATATATATACTTTAAAGTGTTGTTGATTCATACAAAAAGCTTTTAAATCAAAAAAATAAATAATAAAAATGTTATTGTACTAAATATAATGGTATTAAATCAAAAATATTGGAATCAAGCTATTATTAAATTACCATATCTGGCAGGAATGTTTAAAGTGTAATTAGTAATTTGGTAGCTGAGCAACTTCTTTAAATTGGCAATATAGGAATCCAGAAGTACAATATTTAATTTATAAATATTAATCAAAATTAAAAGAAAAAACACAGCAGAAAGCAATATTATTATCAATTACCATATTTGGTAGGCATATTTAAACCGAAATTTGTAATTTAGTAACTGTGCAACTTAAACGAGGCTTATCATAAGTCTCTGTCTTTGTATTTGTGTATATATAGTTGTGCGCACACACCTATACAGGGACAAGTAAGCAAATTCCGCGCTGCTCCACAAAGTTTTTCCATGCACAAAAATCCAATGTAAGCCGCCAGGTATCATAATTAAGCTACAATAACTTGTCATATTTAAGCCGTTGTGACAATGCTCACGGCTTGTGGTGCTTCACTTGCTGCACATACTATACTATGTCTCTATCTCACTCTCTCACTCACCAAAACCATCTCTCTCTCTATGTTGTGTTTTACAGAGGTGGCTGTTGGGCTGCGGGATGTTAACGTTCGCATTCCGGCGGCCGTTAAACGCGGCGATAATGCGCTCTTAATCTGCAATTATGACATCGAGAACGACACGCTCTATGCGGTAAAGTGGTACAGAGGCCGCAGGGAGTTCTATCGCTATACGCCGAAGGAGAACCCAGCCTGGAAGATATTCACGAAAACCAACGAAATCGATGTGGAGGTGAGTCTCAGTTGTATAAGTGCTCATCATCGTGTTTCCTCATCATGAACCAAATTGAAAAGGAGACCTGAAAGGGCTGCCAATGTAAATTGCTGTAAATAAGTGCAAAAACGTTGTTGTTATTGTTGTTGTTGTTGTTATAGGTAGTGGTTATATTAACGACAGCAACAACAATACGCAGTGTAAGCTGTTTACCATCGCTTCAGTTCCATTTCTCACAGTGTATATGTACGTGTGTGTGTGTGCTTTTCGATGTTTGTTTTATACATGTTAAAAAGTTTTAATTAACATTTTTGACTTTTAACTTGCTGCTGTTGCAGTTGTTACACACGCACACACACACACACTCATGCCTTGCCGGCCATTTTATCCTCCACATTTCATTGTTGACTTTTGTTGACATTGCGAAAATTAAAAGCGAACTGCCGCAAAATTGTGTTCAAGCTGTTGCATTCAGCATGTCGCAGTACTGCACAAAATATCTTATATATAAACTCAAGCCCAGAGTAATCGTATATATTATATTGAATATAATAACCTCTTTGGCGCACAGTGGTCACTTTTTGATTATCAGCTCAGCACATGAACATCACGAACTTAACTTATTATTTTCAGTGATTTTCATAGTTTTTAATATTATTCGGTGAACTCTTAAATATGTTTTTCGCTGGCTTAGGATCAAGCTTTTCTTTGTATTTACTGTGAAATATATTTCGAATCGCGCCGAACTTTGTCTTCTTGTTCGTAAAAATAAAAAATAAGCGAAGCGAAAAACATATTTAAAATATCTCTTATTATATTTCAATAGTTTGCTTTTCATTTCAAGGATATGTTTTTAACAACTGCTTATTGACGTTTGTAATTCAACAAGATGTTACTCTGCCAACATTTTAATAGTATTGATTTATCTCGTACGGGCATACTAAAACAATATTCTAAAGCCTCTGAACAACAGACATTAAATTCGGTTTTTAAATGCGACTTTATTTATACTTAATTTGATTTATATAGAGCATCGTTTTATTATGAATATAATTAATTGAAATGAAATCCTACTATTTCATTTTCTAGCGCTTGAAACAAATATATTGACCAAATTTAATATTGAAATTAAAAAAATAAATAAACAAATTATAAATTATTAAAAACGTGAAAAGAATATACTTTCAAAGAATTATGAATTGTTGTTTAGGGGCAATAAACTTTTTATTGCAATATTATCATTTTTAATATCAACTCAATATTTTTTTTTGAATTGAATAGAGCTTAAATTAAATTACAATTACGCAATAACATATCTCTTGACAGACCACAAAATCGAATGCCAGCCATGTGCTGTTGCGCAATGTGCCCACCTCCATATCTGGTAAATTTGCCTGTGAAGTATCCGCAGATGCGCCTACATTCGACACCTCCATTGTGGCCGCCGATATGGAAGTTGTCGGTATGTAATCAAATGCACTTTCCCGTAAAGATACAACTTTAACCTTTAACACGCCTAGAGCTGCCTACACAAAGGCCGATTATAACGGGCATTCATTCACGTTATCGCCTGGGCGATGTTATCAATGGCAACTGTTCATCGGATTATTCAAAGCCGGCGGCTAATCTCACCTGGTGGATAAATGACATACAGGTATATATGATAAATAAAAAATTGAATGAAATGAAAAAATTGTGGAATTTATTAAATGTTATTGTGGAACAGGTGCCACCAAATTATTTGCATGTCTATGACATACAACGACACCTGGCTGAACACCTGGAATCATCGGTGCTGGAGCTCAATTTTGTCGTGATAACGCATCATTTTATTAAAGGACGCCTCAAGGTTAATGGCTATAGTTAATCTTTTAAATATGTCCAAATATATATTGAAAGTCTTTATTGTGCTCTGACAGCTAAAGTGTTCAGCACGCATACACGATATCTATGCGCAGGAGAGTGAGAAACTCATCGAAGAGGATCGTCCCCGTATTTTGGCTTCAGGACGATCGCCAGATATGAATATGTATCCCTTTGATCAGCCTGGCGATGCCGATGAGCACAATGAGCTCTTTTTGACGCACAAAAGTAAGTCACTTTATAATTAATCTCAAGCCAAAAGTAAAATAAACAAGAATGATATAGTCAACCTGTTAAATATACAGAATACTTTGGAATGTAACTTGGTTGTAGTTTATTCGATCCAGTGTATCCAGTATATATATAATTAATGGGGTTGAAGATGCTTCCTTTTGCCTATTACATACTTTTACACAAAATCATTATCTCTTTATTAATCATCTAATACTCTGAAACTCTTTGTTATCAGTTCCATACGATCCCTTAACACTTTAACAGACTCAAATTCTCCCCACACTTACTTCTTTCATAGTATGTAATCAATAACTCATTTGATTAAGGACCGCACATTAGTTAGCCGCCACATTGCAAAATTGCTGAACGTTTGTTTAAAAATTAGAACAAATCCATGGCCAAAGATAAGCAGAGGCCATACTGACACACACCCACGTACACTAGGTTCATTGCTGGCTGGACAATAGGTATACAAATCTTAGCCTGATTGTTTTGCAACTAAAACAAATGCGAAGGAGACCGCTGGGGATTGGGATACATTACACGCACGCCATTAGAATGATAAACGGAGGATTTAATATCAAAGTTAGTGGAAAAAGGACGCAGGACGCCGGACAACGGCAGCAGCTCACCTTATTAGCTATTGTTGTTGTTTGCTTTGCGTTGCGCCACGATTTATTAATGCTCTGCGCTAAGCTACAAGCAATTAATTCAAAGATTAATTTCACCAGCGGGTGCCACAGTCAAAGCCCCCGCAGCCCTCACACAATCACCACAACCACAGAAACCTCAGTCTTAACCCGCTTTTAATATGTTTTCTCCCTGTCCTTTTTTATTTTCACAGATGCTGCTGTCTCCTTCAGACAGTCGGCACTCAATTGGCAACAGCAACTTACTCTGTTTGTGCTAATGGGTCTATTGCACTTGGCCTGGTCAGCAATTCAGCCCCGAAGAACGAACAGGACGAACCACCAAAGTATCTGTAGCCCGACTCAGGAGCAGCCCAACTCACAGAAGAATGTGCGAGAATTGCAGTTACGGTGATGAGCTGGCCAGGGAGAAATGGAGACTTCAAATCGCATGCCGAGAAGAGCAGTCGCTGTGTCAGACCCATAAGCAAAGGCCTATCTATATATAATAGTTTTCATATACACTTTTATATATATAAAATGTATATGTAAATCAATCAGTGAAGCTCTTGCAACAATTACGACATTCATTTATATAAACAGTGCATACATATATAGCAAATCAACTAGCAACATTTGTCACTAACTTTAACGTTTAGCGAATGTTGGTTGTGCATCATAGACAGAGAGCTGCCCCTCCCCCTCATTAATCTAACACATACATATAGTATATACCAATATTGAAAACACATACTGTATAAATTCTTTATTTCGATTCTTGCAGTTTTGTCAGCTAAACCTAAGTCAAATGTAAATAAATCATAAGACATCTAAATTCAAAAAAAAAAAAAAAATTAAAGAAATATCTAAAATTTAAGCAACTTTTTCCGTTTTATTTTAAGATAACGGTTTTCCTTCTGTTTTTGGATGTGCAAAAGTTTCAACTTTGTGATTTCTAGGCGTCTATTCGTTAGTATATTTACTAGTATTAAATCAAAAAGGAAAAAGGTTGGTTTAGAAAACTGTACAACCTAACTAAGTATTTAACCATTGTTAAACAAGTGTGAGTTTACTTTTAGTTAAAACTGTGAATTAAATGGCAGCCAAATAAATTGAGTGTTTATTTAATCCGATTGCTGGGCTTACTATATATGAATGTGTATTTATGAATATGTAAGTATATAACCAGTTTATTATATTTTCAGAACTTTGCAGTGCTCTGCTGCCTACAAGAATACCATAATACAATTTAAAATTTTTGATAAACTTTGCCAAGATTTCAAAGTATTATGGAAAGCATTTCTCGGCAAACAATGCAGTGTTATTGTTTGTAATTATCGATCAATTATTTTCTAAGATTTCGCTCATTTTACAGCTCGCAGAACAAGTCGCACAGAAGTGAGACCAAACGCTCCAAAAATGTACTAACAAAATTAGTCTTATGCCGATACAAATCTTGGCAAAAGTATGCAATGAAATTCGGCCAGTGTAAAATCTTTGCGCCTCCCAAAAATATGCAATGATCAGCTTAGTGCATTGTAGAAAAAGTATGCCTCACAATGAATTAGTTGTGGCATGTGGCGCAGCCTAATTTTCAATAATCAAACTAAGCTGCTTGCTGCTGATTCTGTTCGCTTTGTAAGTGGACCCTCTGCTAACGAACCACATTCGTTCCAGAGTCTGATTCTCTTTTCTGCTCACATCCAGGGCCAGAGCTAATGCGTCTGTACTGAAAAAAGAAAATATGGTTTGTATATATCACTCCAAGTAATTCTAAGTCAAATGGCATTTCAGCATATAAGTCAAAAGTGGATGAAACTGGAAAATGTATGGCACTTTTGCGAGCACTTTCTACGCTTAAAAAATCATGATTAATGTTTTTAGTTCAGTTGAGATAACAAGAACTCACATTTTGAACTATTACAATTTTCAATTATTAATTTCCACTTGCATATTATTTGAAACTTGCTATTGTTAAGCAATTTTGGTTTGATTTTTTTTTCTGCTCTTTGGGGTTCGCCTTGTCGTCCTCGACAAAGTGTAAAATATTATGGCGTCAACTGAAAAAGCCACAAATGAAAAACTTCTAATTTGGGTGACAAAAACAACAAGACAAGGCATATAATGGGCCAAACAGTGTGAAAGTGGGACAGACTGACACAAAAAAAAACAGCGTCAAATGGGTTGGCAGTCTGCACAAACCGACCAAAAACCACTTGGCAGCACCCCACTTAAAACGTGCTTGTCAGTACACCGCACGTCAGTTGACTAGGGACAGAGAGATTATTTTGAATAAACTCAACTACTATATGAAAACAAAAACATATAACTGTTATTTGATTATCTTTTACGAGTCTTTTATTATTATCTGTCCAAATATATCAAAATAAAACTTGCAGATTTATAATATAATATTTCTGAGAAAATTTCTAATAATTTTATGTTTTTGAAAAGCGAAATTAAGTTTTTTGGAAACAAGCAGCTTTATATATTTAGAAATTAGTAAGCATTCTAGAGCTGAATAAAAAACAAAACAAACTTACCTGAATAATACTTAGAAAAATGTTTTAGAAATCAGAAGAATCACAAAAATAATGTTATCATAAAAATTTTTACACTTTATACTAACCTAGATAATAAGATTTAAAGAAATATTCGAATAATAAGCAAATCAAATTTTAGTATACAAATGTAAAAAATAGAAGAATGAGACAAATACGCTTCAACCTAACCTAGTCTGTTCTAATAAGATTAAATAATATATTAGTAAAAATGAGCGAATATTATTAAAATGGTTAACCCTATTCGTGTGTTGAGTGCTGTAGCGTGTGAGCACGTGTGTGTGTGCGTGTGTGTGTGTGTGTGTGTGTGTGTGTGTGTGTGTGTGTGTGTGTAGGTGTCGTCGATCTGCCATTGCATACTATTTGGCGCGTCGCTTTGTTGTTGGTGTTTGCAATTTCGCACTCGACTGCATCTCAGCATATCTGAATGTGATTCAAAAGCTCTATATGTGAGTTTATGTGAGTGTATGCATATGTATAGGTGTGTGTGTGTATGTGTGTGGGTGTGAGTGTGGGCGTATGTGCCTTGCTTCTTACTAGGCGTCTGTAAGCAGGGCGTGGTCGCAGCCCATTGCACTGTTGCAAATTTATTGTGCGTGTGAATGCGCAACTCTCTCTCTATCGCTATCTGTATCTCTGTCTCTGTCTCTTTGTGTGTCTCTATCTCTGTCTGTCTTTTTGGTATGCGGCTTTGCTTTGCCAGTCAGCGAACCCATGCAATTGCTCGAAAATGACTTTTGGCACGAGTCTGTTGCAAAAAGCGTCGATGGGGACAAGCTATGATACTCAGGGCTGAAGCAGGAGCAGGAGCTGGAGCTGGAGATGGTGCTTTGAGTGAGGCTGCAGTTGGATGCTGCTAATGGACAATCGAAAACGCATTCAACTGGCAATTTCGGTTTTGCCCCATGGCGCCATCGTCAGCTGTGTGGGCAAATTGATTCCCGTTGCGGTTGCTTGGCACCAACAGGCGTCGCCACCAGGTGGCGCCCTCATTAAAACTGCACTGCAACATTTCCTTCGCGCTCTTCCTCTGCACAAATTGTCAAAAACATTCAAAATGCTTGTGGCTAACTTGCTAGCGAATTTGCAGTGGCTTTTTCTTGTTTTTCACTTGCATGGAAAACATTTGTTAATTGCTTTTCAGTTACTGCGATTACTCTTTGTCTGTCTATCTCTCTCTCTCTCCCTCTCTCGGTGTCGGCACAAGAATAGCTGAAAAGCAAAAACATTTAATTTTTTAATTAAAATAATTTAATATAAAGCTTGTGCTTGCTTTGCCTTCAAGTAAACAATGTGAAAGATTATGCAACGTGTTAGTTAAAAAATGTCAACTGCAGAAATATATATAATTTGTTGTCCCGAAATTATAGACATTTAGTTTGAACATCTTAAAATAATGAGTTATATTTTGAAATATATAATTAGACACATTATTTTTATTTATTTCTTCTTATCCTTTCATAAACTCTCCGTATTTTTTTATCTTTTCATTTAAATTTTTTTTCAAATATTTGTCTATAAGTTTTTCGCTGTTTAGGTTAAATGCTATCAATAAAATATAAAATTTTCGTTAAATGATTGAACTAGTTAAATAGAAATAATTATTGTGGAATTCATATAGCACATAAAGTAAGCGACAAACAGCACTTGTAAGTTTATTATACATATTTATACGAGAGTTGCGCTTAGTTCAAAGATGCAAAGAGTGCAGCACTAACTTAAGGTCCAAATTATGAGAGATCAACAAGAATTTAGCTCCAGCGAACATTCTCACCAGGTTCATCGATTTGTTTATTTGATTGGAAACAGTTGCTTTTTTTTTCTCACAATTTATAAATAGCAAATTGGAAAAGCTGTTCGGTATATTCAGTGCGCATTTATGTATAGCTGAATACAGTTCGTTCGCGCGATTCAGACCAATCTTTTCGAGAACTTGTGGGCGTGGTGGCAATGCAAGTGAAAACGCCGATCTGCCTGCTGCAACTCTTGTTGCTGCATTCTTTGGCCTGGGTGCAAGGTATACGATGATCAGACCACGCAATGTATGTGAACTAATTAGGTTTCCATCTTGAATTTGAAGCGCGTCGCGGCTTTGGTCCCGGTGATCAGGACTGGGGCTATGTGGAGGTACGCGAGGGAGCTCACCTCTTCTACTGGCTGTACTATACGACGGCGAACGTGAGCGCTTATACGGATCGACCGTTGGTCATCTGGCTACAGGGTGGTCCCGGCATCGCCTCCACGGGCTGCGGCTGCTTTGAGCAGCTGGGCCCCATTGATATTGAGGGCAGGCCACGTGACAGCAATTGGGTGCAGCATATGAATGTGCTTTTCATCGATAGTCCCGTTGGCACCGGTTTTAGCTATGTGGAGCAGCCACATGGTCACTATGCGATGCATAATAACCGCATAGCACTCGATCTGGTCGAATTGATGCATCAGTTTTTGCTGCAGTATCCTGCCTTCCAGCGCGTCCCCATCCACATCTTCTCGGAAAGCTATGGCGGCAAGATGGCGCCCGAATTTGCCCTAGAGTTGCACTTGGCGGAGCAGCGCGGAGAGCTGGTGTGCCAGCTGAAGTCGGTGGTGATGGGAAATCCATGGACATCGCCGTTGGACAGCACGCTATCCTATGCACCCTATCTGCTGCAGATGGGCATTGTCGATCACGTTGGCTATCGGGATATTGCCGGTGTGGCGGCCGAGATTGCTCGCTTGGTCTATGCTGGGAAGTGGCTACAGGCGCTCGATCAAAGCATCCAGGAGGTGATTGAGACGCACACTGGCGGCGTCTTTCTATACAATACACAGCGACGCGTCCATGTCAACGATGTCTATCGCTATGGTGAGGATCCCCAGCTGCGTGAGTTTATGGTTAACAATGTGACGCGGACACTGAATCTGACAAACATGTCCGAGTGGATGGCGCAGAATGCGACAGTCTTTATCAAACTGGGCGGCGACATCTTCAAGCCAGCTGTAGACATTGGTAAATTGAATTGCCTTGAATCACAAAGCTTAAAACTCAATTGAATTCAATTTACAGTTGCCCGCCTGCTGGATGAGACGCCGCTGCGTGTGGGCGTCTATTCGGGGATGCTGGATCTGCTGTGCGCCACACCCGGCACCGTCAACTGGATCAATCGGATGCAGTGGCATCGCAAGGATCAGTACGTGTCCGCAACACGTCGCCCCCTGCGCATCAAAGGCATGCTCGAGGGCTACGAGAAGCAGGGCGGTGGTTTCAGCATGTTCTGGATTTACCGTGCAGGTCATCTGGTGCAGCAAGACAATCCAGCGGCCATGTCTCACATCCTGCGTGAGTTTACAGGCTTCGGATGATGACTGACCTCTCTCTCTCTCTCTCTTTCTCTCACTCACTTTCTCTCTGTGTGTTCTCCGAAATAAAGTATGAACTGAAATTAATGTGTGTTTGCTTAAGTCAATGCTCAGAAACACAATCGACCAGAAAACTAGAAAAATTGTCTGATTTTAAGAAATAATTTAATCTATATTTAAAAAAGTGTTCTTCGAAGTTAAGAAAATGATTACCTTGATGTTTAGAAAGACACAACCTTAATTTTGATATATATACTTTCTGAATAATGGGGTAAAATAACACTGTAAACTAAAAGTGAACTCTCAGAGGTTCAAAAACTGTGTCAGTATTTTCTTCAGCTCTTTATGCTATCGTTTTAGAGAAACCATGACTACTGCTGAGTAATCTTTTAACAATTTACTTGAAATTAAGTCTAATTGGTTACAATGCGGTCTACCACGGGGGCCACAAGCAGACGTACGGAAAATATCATCATACCACCATACCTGCTCTTCATCCCTCCCTTCCGGATGCCCTTTTCTGTAGCGTTTTACAGGTGCACCACATCAATTTATTTTCCACACAAAAGCCTATTAAAACTCGCACACACTTTGGGTAGCATTTGATGGGTTGTTGTGGGCCTGTAACTAAATGTTTGCCAAATGGAACCACTTAACCTTTTTTTTCTTACTTCTTCCACATTCACCTTTGTTTTTCTCTTTTTGCTGTGGATGCAATTCGCCCGAGAAAAATGAGAAAAGTTGTGGGTGAGTGGAAGAGCTACTGCGTTCATGTCTCGAGCCACAGAAAAACAAATTAATTAAAAACTTAAAAGTTTTTCCAGAGCGGTGCGAATTGCTTGGCAAAAAGACAGAGACAAGTAAATGAGAAAGAGAATCGCTGAGGCAGAATTTTTTTTTCAATGCGTTCTGTTCTGGTTAATCAGAAATGCACAATTGATTTAAGTTAAACTTGTTGATGACATTCCTACCTTTTTCTTATATGTACCAGCTGTGATTGGATGCTTTAGTGAGTTGAAAACAATGGTAATAGGTAGGAAAGTTCATTATATTGTGGTGATTGGAATAAGAAAGCAACGTTCTCAATTAAATATTTAAAATCTTAACTCTTGCTTAAATTAAATTTAGTAAATAAAACAGTTGTAAAATTAAATTAATTGGTAAATACTTGAATAAGACAACATTTTGCTTTTTTAATAGGATATGTCCATCTTAACAAATAGTTGTTGCCTTAGTTACAATTAAATGGATTATGTGTGGCTGATTTTCGATATGATATAGTGATTAATTTCCTTTGGCTATGTTGATCTATGAACAGGAATGGGCCTTTTATCATCAACAACTAATTAGTGAATACTTAGATGAAATTCGTAATCGAATAACAATTACCCAGAGAGAGGGGTGGGTGGGGGATAAGGGGAGAGTTTTTGTTTTTCATCCGAGTCGGCGCCTCGTCACGTCAACGCACAAGTAATTTTCACACAACTTAACGCCGCATATCGTGCATATTAATTATGATGGGAGTCGAAGGAGACGGGGGACGAGCGTAAATCTAATTTGGTAAGACGACCTAGGCAGTAGTCACGTATGTGCAGATTGGCTGAGGAGAAAGCAATCCTCCTGCTCTGTGGCCCTACAACAGCCACATGCTAAATGTCATTTGCGAGCAGCCTCGAGCAGCTCGAAGGCATCCGGCCAATGCGCCTGCACGTATGCTACGCAGGATTCACAGGATTCGGGGACTCGGGGTTTTGGGTTACCGTTTTGTTGTTGGTTGCCACGTGCACAGACGCCAGCTATTGTAGCCACGTCAAGTATTTATAGGCAGCATGCCAGGATTTAGCGCGTCGAGGCCAAAATTCGGCTCAAAAATTACTCATGTGCGACGGTTGAGTCGCCCCCGTTTGGGATCTCGGCTCGTTCCTTGGCAGGGGCCAAAAATAAATTAAATGCCTGCACAAAACAAAGGAAAATTCTTCACAAGAAAAATGCGCTTGCCAGCTGGGAAGACAGGTGCTGCTGCTCCAGTCACTACTCCTCCAGCTGCTCCTTCTTTTGCCACAGCTCCTTGCAGGTACAAGCACGATAGCTTCAGTTCAACAGAGGCAAATAAATGAGCGTTAATTAGTAATCAGTCAAATACATATGTTGCCAGCTCTTATTTACAATTACTCCACGAAAAACCTCAGTAAAAGCTCAATTTTTTTTTTGTTGTACTTCGAATACAATCTACACATTTCATACATTTAATACTTTAACAAGCGTCGTCGGATTTTTTGTGTAAATCACTGCATTTATACTAGTTAAGGTACTAGTAGTATATACCATAATTTAATAGCAATTAAATTGGCTATATTGATTTGATTAAAAACACGGTTGTCATTTAGTACTGCATGTCACGAAAGAAGCCAGAACAAGCCTTAATAACTTTACTTTACTCATTTATTAATTGGTCTGCGATGGGACAATTCAAAAACATTGAAGTGTATCAAAGATGGATATTTTGCAGTGGCAAGTGCGGACATCGTGCTCCTGCATTATATCTGAGACATCGGCGAGAAAACTGTTGATATTCCCGGGATTGACTAAAATGTCTCGGCTAATTGTCAGATTTCTATCATCCCAAATCTTCCACTTACGCATGCTGTGGATGACATCGCCGCAAAAGTCCCGCTGCATTTTATTGCGCTGAGCCAATATATTCCCCACATGCTTACGGAATTTACCTGGATATGTATATTTATATATATATATATATTTATGAAATATTATTATTATGAAAAGAGAATCCCTTTGGTTTAAGCAATTTTCTAAAATTCAGCGCGTTTTTTTTTTTTTTTTTTGTTCGGTGTACTTACGGTTAGCCATGGATTTTTGTGCCTGGTGCAACCGTGGATCCAATTGAGTCTTTTCATATTCAGCAATAATTTGGTACATGCGACGATCCATGTCCTTGCTGTACATCGTGTCCTCGCACGGCGGATTGCACAGGCTGTTGTAATTGGGCCCGGAAAAGGGCACCTCCGTGTGGTGGATGCTGTTCTTAAACTTATCGCGTTGCGCCTTGACTAATGAGAGCATTCGCGCCGAATTAAGCAAGACGCGAATATTGTGAAAGCGAAACGAGATACTACTCAGCAGCTTCTCCACCTTCGACAAACAGCTGTGATTAAGTGAAGAGTAAAGTCAAACCAAAAGTTATGGAAATTATAAGAATTCCAGTGTAAGTATTTTTAAGCTTCAAAATGAACGCAGATTTTGAATGAAAATAAGTCTAAGACGTTACTTGATAAGAATCGAGATCAACCTAACCCTATCAATGATATACACATGCCTAACAACAGAGTCGGAGATGTTTGCTCCAAACAGAAACAGTTAGGAAAATTTAAGTACTTACTGCGAATTATGCAGAGAGTAGACGCCTGGTATCGAGTAGGTGCGCAGCAGATGATGCAGCCTGTAGGCGCAACAGCTGAGCAGCTCCTCGGCGGCGCAGCGTTGCATTCGTTGCAGATTGTAGACATCGTGCACCGTTTGTCGTACATTCCAACCGCGGTAGACAGCCTGAATTTTTGTTGCTGACTGATTATAATGATCGCTCACCGCCTGCGTTAATTGTTCTTCTATGCGATCTATGAAATTGTTGCGCACTCGGAAGCCGCGCCACCAACGCTGTATGGTAATTGCTGCCCGCAACAGATTAGCCCCCTTCTTGCGCGTCTGATAGCCCCGCCACAAAGCTTGTATGCATCTCGCAGCTATAAACTGTTTGTAGTCCAAAATTAATATTGCAGTGCTGCGGGTGATGATTCAATTTAAAATCAGCTATATTATGTGTTCATATGCTTACCGGTTGTGACTCTCGGACTTGGCAGACGCAGTTGACCATTGATCTATTTCTACTACGTCTTCATTTCTGTAATCAGAGGTTAGCGAAGCCATCAATTTATAAACGGTTCTTGTCCACTTACTCAGGCTCCGAAATCATTTCATATGAATGTGACCCTTCTGAGTTGACGATTACACGCGTGCCCCTCGTCATTTTAATTTCTTATTTTATTTATTTTTTTTTGATTTTGTTATTTGTTGTTTTTTTTTTTTTTTACTAAATGGGTTGTTATGGACTGTTATGTGTTAGATGTGTTAGGTTGTTGTGTGTAAAATAAATTTGTAGCTGTATGTCATGCTTAAATTTTTTCAATGAGGATATGTTTCGATCAGACTTTTTGCCTTTTCTATTTTACTTCACTCTTTGCCACTACAAAGCTTGACTTGGAAAGACCGTATTTGCTAACTTTTTATTTATTTTTTTATTTGAATGTACTCCACACAGTCACCATGTACACTGACTACTCGCCTATATGTATATGTATGTATAAATATTGCCAGAGTGAGTAAGGTGCCCTTAATGCCACGGTATAAGTATAAATATTTAATAAATAATAATTTGTGTCTGCAGACATATTTACGGCTAAACTAGGTTCCAAACTATGCAATAATGTGCAGGCTAACAGTATGTAAAAAGTGTTTAGCTAAAATAGATTAAATGGAATGTCAATAAGTGCTCGGAAGACAGGGAAGGAAAACAATAAAACTTCCAGCGACAGCAGCTTCGGGCCAAATTGTTTAAAGGTGAAAAATAGCACGCCAACAAAGGGCGTACGCAGTAACTCAAGGTGCGCCTGGCCGTATGACAAGCGTTAACTTTTCACTGTTGACATCCTCTTGGCGCACTGCTGCTTCTACTGCTGCCCAATCACCCCTCCATGTCCCTTCAGGACTCCACGAACACGCCCATACCCTGAGCTGTTCTCCGTGCGCTCAATCAATTTTGTCAATTTTCTTTTCGTTTCTTTTTTTTTTTTTTTTGTGCCAATGCTACTTTTTTATATTTTTTTTTGTATTTTTATTTAGGTACATCGCACGTTTGGTTTATTTATTCCTGCTGCCTTTCAGAGTTGAAGCTGCCTTCATCGCCATTACCTCATTGCCCTTTCGCATCCACTCACTCGCTCTTCATCTTCTTCCTTCCCTCTCTCTCTCTCTCTCTTTCTCTCCCTCTCGCTCTCTCTCACTCTCTATCTCTCTCTCTCTCTCTCTGTCTCTGTCTATCGCGACACTTCCAGCTCGTTGATGTCGACGTCGTTGCTGATGATGATGCACGTCTCGCAATGCTCTGATGTGTGTTGATATTTGACACTTTATTATGTGCACATCATCAATTTTAAAATTATTGTCAATGTACCGAAAGAACACAACAATATGTTCGATAAGCTGTGTACGTTGCCAAACAGCACGGAACGGGACCCTTGGAAAGCGATCAATGCACTCTGTTATCATTATTTGATAATTATACAAACCACAATTGCTCAAAAAATTATTTTTTTTTATCTTGAAATCTTGCGAATATAAATTGAATATTTTAAAAATGGCTGATTTCACTTGAAGAATAATATCTAATTGAAATAGTATGACTTAAAGGCAATAGATACTGTTGATTTTTATAATTACAGATGGGTATTACTTCATTGATACAAGTGAAGCTATGCAAATAATGTAATATTGAAATATATCAGAACCGTTGGCAAAAAATAAGGAATGCTTTTAATAAAGGCAGATTCCATTTCTAAAAATAATACAATATGTTCTAAGTTATAATCAAAATGTAAAAAATTTAAGGAAATCATATCACATCGGTAAATTGGATCAGTCTAAGATCTAAGAGTAAGCGATAATCATAATTTAATTTTAAAACAAATAACAAAGCTTACTTCCAATAAAAATAAATATTTATTTGATTATTAATTTATCTATATTTCATTGTTGATGAAAAACCGATTAGTGCGATATATTTCAATAATTTTAGAATTTTTTTCTTGCACAAGTATTGGAAACATTTTAACAAGCATACATAGCAAGCTTGCTGCAGATATCTGAGTAAGCAAAAAGAGTGTATCAATGGTTGTTATATGATATAGTCACCCGATTACAAACACTCACACACATATCCACATGCCAATCGGGACGCACATTTGGTTTGCCGCAAAGCATGCAATGAATTTTTACAGCGCACATGCAGCGCGTGGGCGTGGCAGACCACATTCAGTCGCGTTGCAATGTTTTACTAATAATTTTCAATATAATCAGCAGCTGTGACGACGCCGATGCGAGCAAGGACGCAACGAGCACAAGGAGGAGGATGTGCAGGACGCACACGGAAGCCGACGAGGCATTTGCACAAATGTTGCTAATGTATAAACATTTGAGGCTGCCGGCAACGTTAAAGGGAATAAAAAAAATTGAAATGCCTGAGCGCCCAGCAAAGGTTGCCTTTCGCAGCAGGGTGGCGTAGCAAACAGCCCGCACACATTATGTGGCAGTGGCGCAAACGCGGCAGTCGGAACCGTAATGCGTTTCGGTTGCGGCGTTAATTTTACCACATGTGGCTGATAAAAATGGGCAGGCGTAAAAAGCCGCACAGGTAATGGCCAAGTCTTAAAGTGTGCGAAACTCAACTCAACTCTACAAACTTTTTGACAATGTATTTGCGTAGACCCCAAAAACCGAGCATGGCTAGCTCTTTAGACGTATCTTGTCATGACTTTTAGAAATCTAAAAAATATAAACTTATTTCCCATTTTAAAAATAATAATAATAATAAAAATGCAATTCATACATTCATATATTCATACATTGTGGTCTTCATGGGGCTTACAAATCACTTAAAATTTTTAGAATTCTTCATTTGCTTCTTTATCCAATCCATTTGTTTTATAGTATTGGTAAACATCATCTGATTTGTATCTCTATCATGGCTAAGGGAGCCAATTTGATAATAGACATTATTGATCTCTTTATGATTGCGGCAAAAAATCGCAGATCCGGGCAAGTACTGAGGGAACTTTTTATGCTTACTTATCGCGCACAGTAAAGTGTCCTGTGTGCCTTCGCCACATTTGGTCAAATTTGATGAAATGCTCTTCATAATCTGTCGGTTATTGGCACGGCTCGGATATGGACTCCAACCAACAACTAGACAGCTCTTATAATCGTCGAGTGTGACGCTTGCATGTGGAGGCCGGCAGATGAGACCAATGTGCATCGTTCTGTAGAATCTCGCATTTAAAAAGAGTAGAGCGATATCATTTTTGTATGAATCCCTGGAATATCCCTCGTGTAAGACGACATTGGCAGAACGTTCTTGATATGGTAGAATGTCGCTATCAGTGGCCATATCCCAATGGCCGGCTCGCACCATATATTTTACGCGTTTCGCCAAACTGGTGGCGATGCTGACCACGACTCGCGGTGCAATTAGCGCACCAGCAGCTTGAAATCTATTCCCACTGTCCATTATGCTCACCATCCAGGGAAACTCACCAAATTGTGTCTCGCCCTCATCGTTGCCCACGATAGTCATATAAATGCCCTGGGTATTGGAAATGCCACAATGTGTTTTCGTCTTAAGATCGGTCGTAACTTCAGAATTCCAATCCTGAACAATTAAGGGTTTGATTAACAGATCCAAATGGGAATTAGAAGAACACATGCAGTGTCGTACTTACAATATTATCTTCTGTGCAGCAGGCCTCCATATAGTCACAGTCGCTCTTTTCCTTCAGATTTATTAAATATTTGCCATCTATGCGTTTTTGGCCTTTGCACTTCCAGCGTTTGACGCAACGGTTTTGCTTTTTAGCCCCACATTTTTTTATTGGCTTTTCTGTGGTTGTTCTTGTTGTTGTAGTTGTAGTTGTTGTTGTCGTTGTGGCCATAGTTATCAGTGTTTTAATGCGATTAGCGAAAAGTTCATTAATTTCGATAAAAGTATGAGCCACATGTTCACGCACCTCTGACGAAATCTCTTTGCATTTTGGTGCCATTTTGATATTGATTTGATTAATTAAATTTTTTTTAAACTTCGACAGCTCAGGATCTTCCTGCTCAACAGCCGACATTATTTCAAATAAGTCATCATAAACACTTGTGGTCGAATCTGATTTATTGTTATATGTCATATTGTATAAACCACTATATACGGAATCAGATTGGTCTGAAGGATCAGCTTGCACCGGACAGATGAAAATCATCACAAGCCATAATAAGCATTTTAATAGTAGCATTTCAAAAATCCACAAGGAGGAAAGCAGCAACTTTAATCAGAAGTAAAACAATGGAGAAATGTAGAATATGTATGTATGACTGACTAAGACTTACTTTAATATTTTACTTCATATATATATAAAAAAAATGACGCGATAAACTAAGAAGTGCTCGTGGCGCGTTCTTAAAGCGAACTAAATTTACTTGAGCATAATAAATGTTTGTTGCTTAACACGCATTCATACACTGAAAAAGCATATTCGATTTCAATAAGCAAAACATAAAAAAAAATAAATAAAAAAAACAACAAATTAGTTTTGCACATCTTTTCAGTATGATTTGGGAATTATTCACATCTTAGAATATGCTAAATGTTTTACATTATTTTTATTTTAAGAACTTCTAAAACTTTAAATCAGAGTCAAATCAATATTTTTTTAAAAATATTGTCGTACATATGGAGCTTATATTATACATCACTGTTAGCATCGAAGACGATTGTGTGTCATTTTCATAATTTACATATTTTTATTTAGTAATCAGAAAAGTTTTGAATTTAATTGTTGTCAATGCATTGTATTAACGTTTTTTTAAGTGCAATTTTGTTTTCAAAGCTTTATTATTATTTCGAGACTGCTAGGTCTACCATATCGTCTTCTGCATAATTGTATGAGATCCACTAACGTTGGTTGGTTGTATAGTATATATTTTGAAGATCAGCATTACCAGCCACGTCCATATTCGGCCACGTCCATTTCCGTCATTTTGCTGATGAAATTCGACTCTATCGGTTCGGTATTTCAAATAACTGACATAGTTCGAAAGAGAAGATCTTGTATGAAATATTTGTTTTGTTACCAATATATTCGAATAACACTCACTCAATGAATTATTTGAACTATGACATATGGAATGCCTGCAGAAATCATTTAAATAGATGTTTAATATTTTACATTCAGTTTATTCTTCAGAGCCTTGGCAGTTTTCAAAATCATAGTTGTCTTACACATATTTATCCCTGCCTTATTTAATTTGCATCTCATTTGATTTGTCAGGCGTCGTCATTGGGGATAATTAAATTTGCCATAAGTCAAAATGGAAAATGTGGCAAACGAGAAGAGTGACTAACGCCATTTCGCTAATTTCCCATTCAAATCACGCCCTAATCGATGCCAGTGCAACTGTCAAATGACTCAAAGATGACATTTATGTACATGACGACAACGGCGTCCCCCGTCCTCAGCTGCCCTTCCAACCGCACGCCTATCAGGCTGCTCATCATCAGACAGAAGGCAGTACTTTATTGCCAGCGGCATTCGTCGGAGATGTTCCTTTTTTTATTTTGCTTTTTGCAGTTGTTGTCAACATTTTGATTTGAATGCTGTCAACATTTTAGCAACAAGATGACAGACAGCGGCGATGTGTGAGGGGCACGCAAGCATTGCAGATCATTTGAGTCAGAGGGAGAGAAATCTAATTGTTGTCAATTTGACATTGCAAATCAGTTGGTCAGGTTGGTTTTTCTTTGGTTCTGTTTATGTTTTTGGGGTAGACCGAAAGTTAATTTGTCCGCTGTCAAAACAAAGGCCATTGTCAACGTATACATATCAAAAACCGAACCGAAATGAGCCGCACCACAACTAGCACTCTCTGACAACTCTAAAGTCCTTTAATTTTGGCCTCTGTTGTTTGCCGCCCGTTGTCATGTGGGAAAAGCCTGCACCGCTCCTGCTCCTGGTTTTCCACACTGTTCCCTCATGGTCTGCCGGCAATTCCTTATTGTTCTCGGTCTAATTTTGCATGCTGCTGACATTGTCCTCTTTGTGGTCGCCGCAGTCTGTGTTTCGTTTTAATTTAAAGATATTCCTATATATGCATATGTATATGCGGAGAGGGTATCAAAAGTCAGTCATCTCTTCATATATATATATGTATATTTTTTAATCATTGTCCTATCCATTTATATGAAAAATGCAAAGATTTTTTATATTAAAATTATTTATTTATATAAATACATAATCAGCATTATGTACATATGTATATAACAAATATTGTTGCAGCTGAGCTTTAAAGATGATTCACGCTGAGCAAATCTCAGATTAAAAAAAAAAACTGCTTATATGCCTTATCAAGCCCAACATATTTTTAGGTATTCACTTAATATATATGAAATTGTTTTGCAGTGCTGTTGGAAATTCCAGCTGTGAAATAAAATAAGTAGAAACAACCGATACGTATACGTATGCAATATGTCTGATTACACTTAAGTGTATTTGAACTTCGTTGCATTGCGAATTCAGTTTGGAGTTGGTGATTGTTGGAGTGCATCTGCATTATTATGATTTGCGCTATAATTATTTTCCCTGCGCCTCGTACCCAGCACGGTGCATGTCCTTGGTGGCCCAGTGGTATGAGAACCTGGAATAGGGATACCAGTAGACAGCGTTTTGCTTGTCACGCAAATGTTTCATGTCAGATTTACGCTGCTCCAGCCACTTTGTGCCGGATATATATATACGTATAAAAACATATATATATTTTTTTAAGTGTGCTACAACTTTATATGCAGCATTCTATATATAGCCTTATACCCTGGCTGCGCCAAGAACTGGTAAAAAGGCTATATTGATTTTGTGCGAAAACAATGTAACAGGTATATCTATATATCTATAATATATATGTCTAAGTATTTTCAGCACCTGCGCTGGCCATAAGAAATGGGAAAACTTCCACACCTGCTTACAATTGAGCGTGCGCAACTTTATTCGATGGGATGTCAATAAAGCTAGAACCGATACGACAAGTGGGTACAGGGTATTTCGTATTCGAGACCACTTGACTACAGCATTCGTACTTGTTGGATATATAGCTCTACAAGTATATGTGCAGGATGTATATGTTTCACAGTATCGGTGTCCAAGCTTGTGCAAGCCTGCGCAGCTATCCAGTCCAAGTCTGCAACTGCCCACTCTCCACTCACTATGTGACCATGCGATAACTAATTTTTTTCAAGTAGCTAGGCGGCACAGTGAAATAATAACAGAAATCATTTTTATGAATTTAATTTTATTTGGTCAACCTAATGATTCCACTCATTTCGAATTAATTTGTTCATTTATTTGCAAAATAGCAGGTAGTAGATTATGTGTATTTCTAGTTTTAGTCTCAAGTGTATATTTTTAAATTAATTAACGACTTGTTGTAAGCCAGCCTAGCACTTGCTTTGTAATTATACAAAACCATTTTTCATATATTTCAATGGATTTTGAGCCACTGTGCCTTGTCGGCGCTGCACTCAAACTGCGCCTTTTATCACGTTCTGGTGGTCGCATGCTATATTTTTCAATTTGTAAACATATCCTACGTTGCAAGTGCTGAAAGCCGGCAACAAAAAGAAAGAGCGAAAAGGAAAGCTCAGCATTAGTAAGCAGATGGCACGCCCACAGTTCGCCCAAAGACCCCCGCACCTCAGCCAGTGGCATGAAACGCATTTGTTTTATTTGTTTGGCGTGTTTTTCATGTCAACTTAATGTTTATTAGAAAATGTCTGCTCAAATTGGACTGGACATTTAAGACACTTGCAATTCAGAAAACAAAGATCAAATACCCTCTGTTATCAAATATACTATTAAAGTATTTTGCTGACGTCGTTTCAGAGAGATAACCGCCACTCGGAGAACATACGAGACCTTATTAAATGCCTTAATCAGTGTACGAAAGTAGATGGCACAGCTCGGTAGCTAACTTGTTGAATAGTCTTGTGGTCAGAAAACAAAATATAAAACAGCGAATTTGTACAGTTTACCTACAATTATAATGTAATCAAACATAATATAATAATATGATTAGTTTTCTTAATAATTTATTACTAATATATTAAATGTTGTTTTCGGTATAGCACGCAATGCTTCTTTATATCAGCTTTGTTGGGGCCCTTGCGCATCTAATTTTTTGCTCTGCTGCTCCATGCGATGAGCTAAGGCCTCGCAGCTGCATAGGTTATGCGCTCAGAAACCCATCTCGGATATCTACTGAGGGTGACTCAGCTGTAGAGACAAATGCTTTTTGCGGAAAGGATCACGAATGCGTTAAGAAATCGGAGTGTAAAAGTGAGAGGGTTAACCAGCATAACGAGCATTACGAAATTACCTTTCGGACAGGCATGAATGGGCCTAACTTTTGTGGTAATTTGGAAACCTGCTGTCATAAATCTGATAAGGTAATCTTAAATTTGAAATATTTAATCCGAATGCAATGTATAAGCTTGAACATTTTTTAGATTTTACGAACTGTGGTAGAGGCCAAGATATCAGGATGCGGCTTAAGGCATATTAACGGCCTCAGTAAAACCTTAAATTATGATACGAACCTGGAAGCGCAGTTTGGTGAATTCCCCTGGATGGCGATTATTTATTCGAGTTCCACAACACCGTTAAACTATATTGGAGGTGGTTCCATTCTAGCTCCTACCATTGTGCTAACAGCAGCACATAAGGTTATAAGCCTAAGAGCAGACCAGCTAACGGTCAGCGCGGGTGAATGGGATATGAAATCCGTTAAGGAACCATATCCACATTTGAATCGTAATGTCTCGCAAATTATCACTCACGACGGCTACTCTCATGCAACCAATAATATTGCCCTGCTGGTTTTACAATTCAGCTTCAGCGGAATGCCAAACATCTCACCCATCTGCTTGCCCAATGTCCACGAGAGTTTCGACAATATGCGCTGCATTGTCACCGGCTGGGGCGCAAGGACCACAAATACCTCCATTTCTCAAGGAATTCTTAAGAAGATCATTTTGCCCGTCCTGCCTCGAGTCGAATGTCAGAATAAGCTGAGTAAAATGGGTATGGATCCCATATACTTCGATCAGAGCTCCATTTGTGCTGGCGGCGAGAAGGACGTGGACACCTGCAACGGCGATGGAGGATCTCCTCTCGTCTGTCCCATCCGAGGTCATCCCAATCGCTTTTACCAGGCGGGCATTTTGACCGGGGGCATCGGTTGCGGGTTGGAGGGTAATCCTGCACTATATACTAATGTAGCGCATCTTATGCCATGGATTAACCAACAACTAGACAAATTGGGCATACCCAGATCATTGTACACTTTGTAATTTATTTGTGATTTTATGATTTACATATGGTAACAAATGCAAATTTTCAAATTAATATCGATTAAAATATTATTCGCAAAACAAAGCAAAGCAAAACTTCCTTCCAAAAATTCAGCAGTCCAATTTTCCACTTTTGTGTGTGAATGTTAAAAAAGAAATAATATCAAATTTTACCGTTAAGTTTTACAATTTTATTTATATTCTCCTTACTGCCAGATAATATATATTTTGCTTTAATCCATTTTACTTAATTGAAGGTGAGTCAATTGTATAATAAGAGTTGGGAATTGAATAAAGTCTGAGCTGCTGTTCAATCCATCCTCGAAGGAATTGGATGTTGGTATATACGCCAGCCACATTTTCGGTGCCACATTGTAAGCCCCAGGATACCATACCGGCCAGCATATATCGGTTGGAATTGTTTTCAATGGGACAAACTAGCGGAGCACCGCCGTCACCAACACAGGCATCATTGTCCTTCTCACCTCCCGCACAGACGAAGCTCTCGTGCAGATTAAAGTATTCACCTAGTCGGGTTTTACGCAGCTGCTTCTGGCATTCAGTTCTACTCACAAATGGCAGATCGACTTTCTTAAGAATATGTGGGTAGTCCATATCCTCCCAGTTGCGTTTACCCCAACCGGTGACGAAACAGCGCTTATTGGTGAAATCAAAGGCCGGGTATGGCAAGCAGATGGTGCCAATGTGCTCGGCCAGATTGAAGGGTGTGGTTAAAATGAGCAGAGCTATGTCATAGTAGCCACTTTCTCTATTGAAACTGTCGTGCACGATTTTTCTCTCCACTGCGCGCTCCTCGTGCGGTAGGATCTCAATGTCAATTTTAGTATCCCATTCCCCAGCTATGACTTTTAGATTCCGAGCCGCCGTCCATATGACATAGTGGGCAGTGGTCAGGACCACCTTTGGTGATAAGAGACTTCCACCGCTCGAATTCACGGCGGGATATTGAGAAGCTAGAATTCTCACCATCCATGGAAACTCGCCAAATTGCGATTCGCTTTTCATCGTATTTTTCAATGTCACTTGAACGCCCTCCGGATTTCTGTAGCCACATCCCTGATACGAGTAACTTTTCTTCTTCACATTCTCTAACTTATCAAAGATCGAGCAGCATTTCTCAAGCCAGTAGCAGCCCAGTGCGATATCTGACGAATTTAATATCTCGCGATACTGAATAATAAATTTGCCGTCTGTGATCATTTTACCATCATTGCACAAATGTCGCGGCACACATTCCTTTTGATATCCACATGATTTCGCACTGTTAGCAGTGCCCAAAAGAGTAGTGGCCAGTAAAAAGTACAGGAGAAAGCCAAACTGGCCAAATGGAATTTTCATTTTCAAAAGCAAATAAATGAACTGATGGACTCGAGACTTAGTCAAGCACTGACTGCAAAGAGAACATACCGCTTTAAAAATCCATTTAAAAATCGCCCATGCGGTTCAAAATGTACATGATAAGAAAATCAGAGACGCAAATAAAAAAGAAGAAATTATAAGATAGATCATTTAATATAAAAAAAAAACTGAGTGCTTTAAATTTTCAAGTTGAAATTCATTTTAAAGTTAACAAAGGTTCAGTTTACAAATTTTTTCAGTTGGGTTTTGTATTACAAGGTTTCCACATTCTTGCCAGAAAATGCCGAGCTATGAAATATTTCTTCGTTGTATTTGCATGATCTCAGTTTGGGGATCATGTTCTGGCTCACGTTCGTCGCTGTTATTGCGATTGTCTGAGAAGCATTCAAAAAGAATGAACAATATTCTATTTAATAATGCCACTCATTACAAATTTTGTTAGCTGGGATACCTTAAAAAATGTATACAAAAAAAGTTTACAAATTAAAAACAGTTTTCAAACGCTTAATTTCCTTATTTTATACTAACTCAACTTCTCAATTTTGTTCAGTGTACGTAATCGTGTATTGTTGAAAACAAAAAATGAAACGATGACAGAATACACTACTGAGAATTTTATACAGATAGCAAGTGAATATTTATAATATTTTGCTAAAGACTGCTCAAAATAATCTTTAGTAAGCAACAAAAGGCATACATAATATGTGTATACATACATATATTTCGGGTCCGCTTCCAGCGTATTTTTATTATTATTATATTTTAAATATATTAATTCTATTTAAATCTAAAATTATTTGAAGCTGTCTTATTATAGTATGCAAATTATCTTCATTTACCATGTATTATTTCTCACATGATTAACCAAAAAAACTTAATTTCACTGCAAATGATAAATAAATTTCGATGATTTTTTAGTAAGCCACAAATAAAAGACTATTGCATCTGAGTTAAAGACTATTCGTTTTTATAGTCCACTAGATTAGCTCTAGAAGATCAAGAGTTCATTTTCACTCCAACTTTTCACCTCTCTTATTTCACTTACCCTTCAGACATTTAAGACTAGAGCCAAACTTCTTTATCCATGCTGCAGACTATGATATCAAACCACTAAAGGATTGATAACTACCGACGAGCTCTTGAACTTTACACTGAATTGCACTTAGAGCTGTGAAAACAAGTGAAAATAAAGAGAGCAAGTAGAAATCATCAAGTATTATTATCACTCGATGCAATAAATTGTATGCATTGAGCGGGGCCAAAGCAAAGTTAAGTGTCAGATGCTTCGGTTTTCATTGGCACCGGCGCCTGAAACGATACGTTCCCTGCTCCTGCCCCTGCTCCTGCCCCAGCTCCTGCCCCAGCCAGTTCTCGACCGCACCTCGCAGCCTTTGTCTGTCCCGGCAATGAGTGCTTCCTGTTTCCGGCGTCACCACTGTCTGGTAACAACTGTAAGCAACTATAACTGTCGGCAAGTTGGCTTTATTATTTCCACACTGTTGAATATGCATATCGACGGGCCTGTGTAAGGGAGCTAAGGGGAGTGTGTAGTATAGGGTGAACTCCTGGACTTTGTTTTGCTTTGACGACTAGCTGTGCCCCTTGGCTCTTGTAGCTGCCAATTGTGGGTAGTGAGTTCTAGGCGGCAGCATTATCACTACCCGTAGTAAAATATTGAGGGTGCATTAAATATTTCGACTCCTGGCAGCCGCAACACAAAGGACCGGCCGGCTCCATGTTCTGGCCAAGGCAAAACGCAAGTAGCAAACTATGTGGGCTAGTCAACATTGAGCTCAAGCTCATGCTGAAGCTGATGCTTTGTCTGCATTTTATATTAAACTATTTGCTGTTGCTCTGCTCTTTGAGTGAAATTTACCTACAGCACATTTTATTCTGTCTATTTTTTTTTTATTTTGTGAAACAATTTTGCGGCAGAATTTATGAAAAATGTTAAACAATTATGTGCATGTAGCCGCAGCGCCGCTCACCACAAATATGAGCAGAAGGTAAGAGAGTATCCGATACAGGTACGGTCGAAGTAATCATCTCAAGCGATGACTCAAAAGACGATTTTGATATGGCAAGTAAAACATGTATTTGAGAGATAACAGAAGAAATAATAAGTACCCGTAAGCTAGCCACAGATTTTAAAAATAAAATTCTGATTTTTACATATTATTTTAAAATAATAATGAATAACTTTCGACAACTCAGCATTGATTGAAAGAAAGCATTTATTATACACTGAACTCATTTAAAATTGATAAAAATCACATAAGTTAAGATGAAAACATCTCCGACCCCATACAAAGTATATATTTTTTAAATCAGTATCAACATCTGAGTGGTTCAGGATAAGTAGTTCAGTTGTCGAACACACTTGACTAGAGCTTGCTTTCTCTATATTTATTTACTAATCGACCAGGAGCAGTTTAAGTGTTTAATCCTAAGTTTAATTTGTTGTCGTTGTTCCAAATCAAGTGACAAATTCATTCGATTCGTTCACTTTTGTGTTGTCTAAAAATCAAGAGCTTATATTTCTCGAATGTGCTGATGAGCGTGTATGTATATAAATTTATGAGTGCGTGTGTGTCTGTGTGTGTGGGAATGTGTGTTTTGGCTGGATAAACAATATTGTGGAGCAGAGATTAGTAGCTTATTTTGACAGGAGCTGTCAGTGTTGCATTTAGTCGAGCAGCTGCCTGTGTAAACAAACAAAAATATTTGCAGCAGCAGCAGCAGCAGTAGCAAGCAAATCTGTAGCAAGGACAAGTCGCTGTGTATCCTGCTGCAAGTGAGTCGAAGGATGATTCTCATATCTCTGGCGCAACGAGTACATGCTCTTCTGCTCGAGTGCCCGCTTCGAGTGCACTCAGTCAACCCCCCACTTTATCCCTCTCAACCGTAGTCGAACTCAACTCGGGCATAGTTTTTCGAATTTCTTGCCTTTTCATTTCTTCATTTTTCATGTGCAGCAGCGGCTCCAGCTAAGCTTTTAATTAAATGCAAGGAAAATTCAATTTTAATTAAAATTTTTGAAGTCTCTGGCCTGGCATGCATACGGATATACCGATTAAGATTTTTTGGCCACTAGATTCTGGGGAAAGGGGTTTGGGGCGGTTCTGCGTTGTCTGCTATCGAGTGTTTGCCAAACGTGTAAAATTGAAAATTAGGAAATCGAATTGTAACGCCAGATACGTTACAAAGAAAGATGAACACAGACAGAGATAGATAGAAAGATAGAGAGAGTGAGGGAGAGAGAGGGAGACAGAGCGCGGTTGTGTGTGTGGGAGAGAGAATGAAGAGCAGCCTGCAATAAAAATACCCCTTCACATCCCACCAAACTTATCACTTCAGAAATGAGGCATTTGGGGCATCATACAAAGCCAAAATTGTAAAGTAATTGGAAATGAAAACTCATTTTGGCCAGAATCATCATACAGATGACCAAAAGGGGCTGGGCTGGGGGAAGAAGAGTGCAAATCGCATTTGCACAAGATATAGAAAGTAATTTGATGGAGCTTTAAGCAGCTTAAGGCTGCTAATACTGGGTTTAATTTAAAAAGTAAACTATGCATAAAAGGTGCTTAAAAACATAGTGTGAGTTAACTTAACTGTTATTCAAGCAGATTGCTTAAGAAAGCTGGCAGTATAAGAAAGACAAGTATATAATAGTCTAGTAAGTAGATTGTAACCGAATGGAAGATGCACTTTATCCACACACATGAATAGCCAGACATAACTTCGTTTTGTCTAATAATACAGTGAATTGTTGATATAATAATTCATATCTAAAATAAAACAACAAATTGATAAGGAAATATCAGGAAATATAAATTATATCCATTTTCTGAGCGATCGGGTAAAGGTATCCTCGAGGCTAGCCATATGTAATTATGCAACATTATGATGTGTAATCTTTATATTCATATGACAGTAATTGAAGTTTAAATTTAATTCTTCCGGTTGTTAAATATATATAAGCGTTATAATAAACGATAAAGGTGTTTGGAGAAGGACTATATCAGGCTATCAGCAGAGTGGGTGCGTAAACTAAGCTTAAGCTCAACTTAAACTTCCAAAGCAAAAACTTTGTAAACTTTTAAACACTTTTGCCGATTATTTGAAATGTTAATTCGTTTTCTTTGAACATGAAGCTGTACAATCCAAACAGACCCTTACACAGAACTGCTGTCTCAGATCTAAATAAATATATAAATATCACGCATGCAACTAGACGTGACAATTCAGTATTTAGCGACACCCAAAGTCGATGGGTTGGGCCCCTTTGTTAGACTTGTGGCAAAAAGTTTTTTAGACCCATAAAAGCTGGGCCAGATTTTGGTTGGCATTTTGCACATAATTTAAACGCCTACATCCTGTCAGTCATAAATTACACATATTACATGCACGTATAAATCGCAGACCAGATACGGCGATGCTAAAAATGCGCCCAGCAAAACTGTGGAGGAAACTGGTAGCAAAGTGCTTAACATACTTTCTGGCTCACGGCCCAAGAAAGAAACGTCATGAAGCCACACACACACACTTAACCATAAGCAACACACACACACACACACACACTTTCAAATCCACATTCATATCGACCACGACATCGACATTCATGTAGGCAAATAGGCAAATGCACGTAGCGCACAAAAAGTTGTAAAACTTTTCCCGTTCATACACACACACACACACACACACACACACACACACACACACACACACATTTACGTGTGGCAAGTGAAAGTTAAAAGTAAGTCAAGACGCTGGCGAGCAACTTTTACTTTTGCTTAAAGCCAAAGATTATGTCAGCCTGACGTGTGCCATAAGTCCGTAGAAACCCCTCTTTTTAAATTGTCCCGCGAAAGTTGGGAAAGTTGTCTATACTAATTTAGATGCCTATTGATATGGTGATATGCTTTATGACCAAGCCACATAAAAAAGCACGTGACTAAAGGATTATCATACTAT